AGATAAGGAGGATATGGACAGAGGGTGGTGGACACTAAGAGACACAGGTGCCCTGGCAGCAAAGCTTAGAGGCCAGTGGCATAGCATGACAGACAAAAAGATGGACGACAACCCAAAGATGTGGCATCACGGAAGCCTAGGTAGACAGTTTCCGGTCATTTTTAATGAAAGGTACCTTCCGCTGTGTTCTGAGCCAGAGCAACAAAGATATTAAGTGATCTAGGAATGGCTGGAAGGAGGCATGTGTGGGGCCCAGCTGAATGCGGGGAATATGAAAGCAGCCCCAAGATTCCAACATGGGAACAGCATCCCTGGTGGCAGCCTGCTGTAATTGCAGGCAAAATTCCCAGGAGGAAATACAGTCTCCATGACTGTAAAATATAATAATTGCAAACTGAGTTTGGAGGTTTGGAAAACACCATCTAGAAACACAAAGCAGATGAGATAAGGTAAGAGGCAGCGAAGCAGGAAAAGACAGATGAGAGAGAGAGAGAGAGAGAGAGAGAGAGAGAGAGAGACTAAGAAAGGACAAAAGATCAGAAAAATAGGACTTTAACCAGATTCCAGAAGAATTAAGAGAAAGGACACCATTTGTGGAATCTGGAGATCTCACTGACAGGTGTCAGCCTCCCCATGGTCCTTAGGGGCTTCTGTGAGAACTGGAACTATGGGCTGTGGGGGCGGGGGGTGGGGGGAGAGGAGGGTGTGTCTACAATTCCTCCCACCTCCAGGCTGTCAGGAAATTCCTCAAGTTTTCATGACATTCAACACCTAGTGCTCATTTATTGAACACTTCACCTGTCGCAGTCCCCATGCTGGGTAAAGCAGTGCCTGAGACGGGACAAACCTGGACCACTGGGTCTACCTATCTGTGGGCATCAGAGACCTTGTTTGACAATTCAGAGCGTAAAGCTGCGTGCTCACGTCCCATTCAGTGGGTCCGGAGGTGGAGGCCTGGAATTCGGGTTTTCCGCAGCCCTCTTTGGAGAGCCTGACAGAGGTGATCCATTAGCCTTTGAGAAGCGCTGCCAAAGGGGATGAGGCAAACCGGAGAACTTCCCAGGCCTGACTCTCTCTTCCCTGCTCCCAGTGCCCCTGCCCCACCCTCAGACCCTACAGAAGCTGAAGGTTCCCATCATCGACTCGGAAATCTGCGGTCGCCTGTACTGGCGGGGAGCTGGGCAGGAAGCCATTACCGAGGACATGTTGTGCGCAGGCTACCTGGAGGGGCAGCGTGATGCCTGTCTGGTGAGCACCCCACCTTCTTCCCTGAGATTCCTCCTGGCTGGCTGGGCCTCTCCCAGAACCAGCTGTGGCCTGCAGTCCCCTAGATGCTGGCAGAACAGGCCTCCAGGGGGTTCTGTCACTCACCCATCTGTTCACACATCCAACACAGACTGGGCACCTCAGGTGTCCAGCCCGCGCTCTCAGGGAGCTGTCACGGGTGGAGGATGGCAGTCTAGCGCGCAATGCCTGGCCTTGGACATGGTAAGGCCTGGTTGCAGTTCCTACCCTGCTGCCCGTAGTTGCCAACTTGAGCAAGTCATGTCTTCTTTCTGAGCCTCAGTTCCCCATCCGCGCAACAGATACAATGCTCTCTGCCTCACCGATGAGGGAGGAGGTCTCACACAGGGTGTTTGTCACCAGAAGTGAGCCCAGGAGGCACGTCCTACCCGCCCTCCCTGCCTGGGTGGAGTTCAGGGCCTCAGGATGGAGACCGGCCTTCTCCCCACAAAGGGAACCGCCTGCGTCGCTGTGTCGGACCCTGGGCTGTGCCCACCCGCTGCCTCACGTGGGCGGGTCCCTAACCTGCCCTCCTCCCCGCAGGGCGACTCCGGAGGCCCCCTCATGTGCCAGGTGGAGGGCGCCTGGCTGCTGGCCGGCATCATCAGCTGGGGCGAGGGCTGTGCGGAGCGCAACCGGCCCGGCGTCTACATCAGCCTGGACGCCCACCGCTCCTGGGTGCAGAGGATCGTGCAAGGGGTGCAGCTCCGCGGACACTCCTACGGGAGCGGGAGCGGGAGCGAGCCGTCGGGGTTAAGAATCCTCCGGGGACGCCGGGCGGCCCGGGGCGGCCCCGCGGCCTGATCACGTGGTTTCCTCCGCTGTAAATAAGCCGTCTACCTCTCCTGGGCGCCAGGTCTCCGCCGGGAGACCCCGCCCTCGCCCCGCCCCCGGGCTCAGGCTCCACCCCTGGGGCCGGGAGCGCCTTTGTGTATATATGTTAATGATTTTTACAGTTATTTGTAATCTCGCCCGCATATTTTATTTATTCCCCCAATTTCAATAAATTATTTATTCCCCAGATCCTGTTTTTTCCCCCTTGTATGGGGACATTGGGGAGCAGGGGTCCACCTGGGGTTCAACATCCTGACCCCTGACCTTTGCACTGTCCTTTCATAGAGAGAAGGCAGGAGACCCAGCTCTGCCACATGAAAGGACCCCAAGGGTTTGGTGGCTGCAGGGCCCTGCCGATTGGGTTTCCAGAACAGGGCTGGTGGGGAAACCACGCCCCCTGCGCCCAGAGGCCTGTCTCCCGGGTTTGAGCTGAGGCAGCCATGCCTCGCACCCCCAGGAGCTGACTCACCAGTGACTCACAGCTGATTCCGTGAATCCTCCCTGCGGAGGAAGGAGCACAACAATGAGACAGCAGGGCTTCAGGCCCTGCCTCATCTTGGGCTTGAGTCACCTGCCTGCACCCACGGGGGGGGCGGGGGGGGGGGCGGGTGAGAGCAACGTCCCAAGCCACAAGGAGTCGCCTGGCTTCCTGCCCTGGGGGGATCCGGCTAACACTCTTGTTCCCTTAGGATGGCCTTTTCCACTGTCCGCTCTTCTGCAGCTAGGCCTCCTTCCTCCTGGGCCACCCCTTTTCCCCCTCCCCTCCCCTCCCCCATATCTGGACCCCTGTCCTAGTCCACCTGGGCTTCCCTGGAATAGTTCATGCAAAAGAGATCCACTCTAAAGCCAAGTCAAGAAAACTACTAGGTCCAGTACGCTAACAGCGAGGAGTGCCTCCGACCAGAACCAGGCAGTGAAGTGAGTTTTTGAGAGGGGAGCGCAGGTGTTTGTCGGTTGGTTGGTACCCTTTATTGGAACTACTTTTCTAAAACATTTGTTCCTATTGTTTTGATCACCCCTAGGTTATTACCAGATCACACGAAATGCTGTGGGGTTGGTTTTGTTAAAATAAACAAACAAATGCTCAACTGGCCTCCTGCTCACCTGGAAACCAGCCTGGGGAGTGAGTGGGTGGCAGCTGAATCCCAGGACCTCCCCTTTGTGACCTAGTCCTCTCTTTACCTGTCACTCTGGTCTCCTTACCCTCCTCCCGCCCCTTCAGTAAACAGACGAGCTCCTTAAAGTGACATTGCTGACAAAAGCCTTTGAGAAAGGGATGCCTAGAAATATCTGCCAGGGTGGAGAAGCTGCCCCATGAATAGCAGGATGCTCCTGGGTGAGCTGGGTTTTTCTGAGTTGGATGATCAGCCCCAGGAAGCCCCTGACCCTGAGGGCACCCTTCTGCCCATCTCCAGGAACCTGAGACAGGCTGGGCCCTCCGTGGGGAGCAGGTGCTCCAAAGTTTGACAGGATTCCCCATGACTCCCCCTTCCCAATCAGGACAGGGGTCCAGGAGGTGGAAATGTAGTCAGCCCCGCCCTGGCAGGGTCCATACCACACAGGAGCCCCTTTGCCCCTTGGTTGGAGGTGGGCCCCGGAACATGCCCCAAATCTAGGCCACTCTCGGGGGGAAGGCCTCACTGCTTTGGCTCCATAGATTCCTTCTGCAGCCTCTGGAAGCTGCAGACAAGACCCTTCAGCCTGCCCAGCTGTTCCCTCCAGGAGGAGTCTCCTCCAGTGGGAATAGGGCCAATATGCCCATCCAGGCAGATGCCTCCACTCACATTTGACCTCCCACAATGAACAGCCCTTTATAGAATCCTTCTTACCTTCCCAAGGGCAGGGGCGGAGACACCACAGTGACAAATGCCATTACACCAGAAGCTGACTTAGCTGCAGGCTGTGAGGTCTGGCTATTGCTCCTTCACAGGCTCCTTCCTCAAATCTTTAACCATCGAGGAGACTTCCCCCTCCCCAGCCTGGGACCTCCCAACTCCACTCTGCGTCCAGAACAGTGTGAAAAAACACATTTAATCCCAGAACATTCCCCTAGGTGGCAGACTTCTTTGGTTGGCTCAGCCAACACCCATTCCGATCCCCATCCTCTGCTTCCTCCACCTCAGAGACTGGAAAAGCTGAATACTCACTCCTACAATCTCTGGCAAGGTCACCAGTGCCTAGGGGACTGAGTGTTGGCCAATGAGATGAAAGCAGATTTCTGATGGGTGGTTTCCTGGGAAGCTGTTTTTTCCTGATAAAAGGGACGTTAGCCTGCCCACCTTCCTCCTCCTTCTAGACTTGAATGCAGGAGAAGAAGCCAAACTTAAGAGGGTACATACTGTATGATTCCATTTACATGACATTGTGGAAAAGGCAAAACTGTAGGGACAGAGAGCAGATGGGCGGTTGCCAGGGGTTAGAATGGGGGAAGGATTGGCCACAAAGGAGCATGGGAGATTTTTTTTTATAGTGATGGAAGTGGCTCTTTCGCATGATTTAGGTGGTAGTTATGTAACTGAATGCATTTATCAAAACTTAAAGAACTATACACTAAAAATGGTGAATTTTACTGTATGTAAACTACTCCATAAGCTTGATTTTTTTAAAAACCAACAACAAAAATGTGGAATCCTCCTTGACTCTTCTCTTTCTCTAAATTCAAACCATCAGAAAATCCTATTGGTTCTATTCTATCTTCAAATCATGTGCAAAAATGGCTACTTCTTTTCACGCTGGTCCAAGCCACTCTCCTCTTTCTCTTGGATTTCTATAATAGCCTCCTACCCGGTCCCCCTGCTTCTGTTGTTGCTCCTACCAGTCCATGCTCAGCACAGCAGCCAGAGTGGTTCTCTTAAAACCTAAGTCACATCATGTCATTCTTCTATTCAAAACCCTCTCATGACTCCTTACTTTACTTAGAGGAAATGGCATGACCTTTCTGGCCTTCCTTCTTACCTCTCCTCTCCTTGCTCCCTGTGCTCCAGCCACTTTGGCTTCCAGCTGTCTTGTGGAACACAATAGGCATGCTCCTGCCCCAGGGCCTTTGCACTGCAGCTTCCTCTTCCCCCACATGACTGCATGGCTCATGCCCTCACTTCCTACAGGTCTTTGCTCAAATATGACCATGTCACCATCCTGTTTACAAGAGCAGGGTTCCCCTCCCACATTGCTTCTTTTCTTGCTTTCTCTTTTCCCAGGACATTGATTACTATGGAACATGCTACATATTTTACTTGTTCTTTGTTTATTGTCCCCTCCCAAACACACACAACTAGGAGATAAGCCTCTGTCCCTGTATTTGTCCTATTCTGTTTCACTGTTTACTAGGCTATCTTACCCAAGAAATATTTTGAGTTCATTAGAGGTTAGACCTTTATTTTATCCATCTTGGGACAGTCAGTGTCCAGAAAAAAAGGGCCTGGCAAAATAGCAGATGTTATAAACGCTTCATGAGTCCATGGTAAGGAGTATGATCTATTTCGTCAGGATGGTGGACACTGTAGACATATCGGCTTTGTTTCTCTAATGAATCACTCAAGCACCACATTCTCTCATGAGCAGAATTTCATTCTCTCTTGGGGCTGCCCCACTCTCTCCACGAATTGTCCAAGAGTCCTAGGGGTTTATTTAGTCCAAAGAGAGGAATTCTATGAGAATTGCAAAGTCCAGCAAGCCTCCAGTTTAGTTCCATTGGGTCAAGGTCAAGTGGTGATGCCGATGAACAGTGACGCCCCACAGTCTGAGAGACCAACCCCCACCTCCACTCTCATGCCCTGGTGTCGCTCTTGCTCGTCTCACTCACTGCCAGCCTTGCACTGGTGTCCTCCATGGGCGACCTTGGGTTGCAGGCTTGAAGGTCAGACACACAGGCCCAGTCATCGTTCCCCAGAGCGGAGTGCCTCAGTGGCCTTGTCCAAAGGGCTTCTCACTTCGCCCATATGCTGTGCTTGATGCCTCAGGTACTTGTGTTTGTGAGGTCTGATCAAATAATTGGATTTATATCCCCTCCGCGGGGGACTGACCTTGGGAACACTTCACAACCGACATTCCCTTTCACTTAGCCCAGTGGTCGGCAAACTCGTTAGTCAACAGAGCCAAATATCAACAGTACAACGACTGAAATTTCTTTTGAGAGCCAAATTTTTTAAACGTAAACTATATAGGTAGGTACATGGTTATTAACTTAATTAGGGGACTCCTAAGCTGGCCTTTGCTAAAAACGTCCTCAATCTGAGGGGTCGACCTCAGCGAACGTACCCCCACTTCTTCTAACGCCACTTCTTCAAAATAGACTCGCCCAGGCGGAAAACTGACTTCTGCGCATGGGCCACGAAGTTTCAATCGCACTGTACATGCGCGCCTGCACGTGGTATTTTGTGGAAGAGCCACACTCAAGGGGCCAAAGAGCCGCCTGTGGCTCTCGAGCCGCGGTTTGCCGACCCCTGACTTAGACCATATTCCACTTGCTAAGACCACATTCCACTTGCTAAGTCATTATCTTTCCCCTCTGGAATTTCCCGGGATCCAGACCTGCCCAGAGAGTTTCCTGCCAGAAAAGCCCACCTAGGTCCTTTAAAAACCTCTGGCTCCCCATCCCTCGGTGCTAATGCCATTTTGGGGCTCAGCCCATCTGGTCTCCAGATGACCTAATACATTTATAATTCCGTACCACTTTGGCCTCGTGAGTTCTTCCTTTGGTGACCCTAACATTTGGTGCCAAAATTCTAGGAGGCCCTAGTCAGTTTGGCTCAGTGGATAGAGCATCGGTCTGCAGACTGAAGGGTCCCAGGTTCGATTCCGGTCAAGGGCACATGCCTGAGTTGCAGGCTTGATCCCCAGTAGGGGGTGTGCAGGAGGCAGCCGATCAATGATTCTCTCATCATTGATGTTTCTGTCTCTCTCTCCCTCTCCCTTCCTCTCTGAAATCAATAAAAATATATTTTTAAAAATAAAAAAATCTAGGAGGGTTCCACGGGCAAGGGGAGTCATCGCCCCAACTTCAGTCACCCTGAGTTTGCTACTCAGAGAGCAGTAGACAGCAGCAGCTCGTCCTGGGCTTACCTCTGAATCCTCCTTGGGTGACTCGACCACCTGCCTCAATTAGGCCTCCCTCCTTATGCTCCCTCCCGAGCCAGCCAAAGAAGACACCTGACAGATCAGGAACCTCTCCTTCTCCATGGCTGACCC